TCCAGACTTAGATGCCATGCCCTGTCATGCGCTGCGTAGGATAATCGCTTGTATGCAAAGCTCGTTAAACAGATTCTATATGTGGCAGTACTCATGTTATGCGCTGCAGCACAATGCAAGTATAACCAGCGCTTAACCCTCACTACGTACAATTCTTTCTACTGTATTGTTTTGTACGGTATGACAACACATCTTATGTGTCAGTTTGCAACCATGTGTTATTGTATCATGATTGTAAATATGGGTGCAATGTAATGTAATTACAAGTTAATAAACGTTGGATTAAAGTGATTTTTATACAAGATAAAATAAAATAAAGGTGTGTAAACTATTAGGTAGTGTTATGTGCATATATATATATGAAAGTATGTGACAAATGCACTCTTTGATAAGGAAATCAAGTGGAACGTCTTAAGAAATTTTAACAACAAAGAACTTATAAACAATTATATTGTTTATATTTTTTAGTTATACATGTTTTAGAGGATACCTCCCTTAACATCCTGGCCAAGTTTCAATAGATAATTCCACCTGGTTTTCTTAAAACGCAAGGTGCGGCTGACTACTAAAGCCCACACTTTTTACAAGTTATAGAATAATATTAATAAAATATTCTCTATAGAAATTAAAATTGTTGATGATAACTTCAATTTTAGCTCCATCTTCGATATTTGTAGTACACCAAAATAATAATAAATAGCGAAGAACAAGAACTAGAGCTGCCAAACGAATTACTAATGAGTGGTAACAGGGTAATTCACGAATTACTTAGAGAGCGAATTACGAATTGTGGAAACATCGTATAAAGCAAGGTGTATTAAACGAGGTGGTGTTGGGGCGACAGCTGAGTTTTGCGCATTGTGGAAGAATTGCGCATTGTACGCAATGGTTTTGCGCCGTGGAGGCCATTACCTCAAAATGATGTGTTTGTTGTAACTCATACCAATGACAGTATGGATATCAACGTATAATATGCTAGTGTAATTTTTTACTTATATACGGCCAACACCACCTTGTTAAATACGCCTTGGTATAAAGCCCACCCTCTTCGATTATTCGATAACGATATTTTCCTGCAGATATTTAAGAGAATCCAGATAAATTATTTTTGAGAATATGCTTAAAAAAATTGGCTTCTTGCAAAATTAATCATAAAAGTAATTGATTAAAAAACGAAAAACTATTTTCGTAGCACATGTTAATCATACTTTACCTTATTTTTTTTAGCAAATAACAAAAATTTGCTCCAGCTTTTGCTGAAAGGTAAATAAAAGTCTGTACATTTTTAGCGCATAATTTCAAAAATGCGATATTTTGAGTTGTGACTCTTTTGAAGACGGTGTGCGATATATAAACTTGCGTATTTTCTGCAGGGGAGAATTAAGTGGTAGCACTCTAGCGAAACGTGGCCAACCATCTACATTCACGATTATAGTGCAGCTGATGCAATTAACCTGCGGACGACTATAATTTTCGCAATGGCTTCCGAAAATTCTGCAATTCCCTTCACTGGTAAGCAAAAATAAAGACTATTTTGATTCTAATTCCACTCCTTTCTGGACAATAGGCCCAATATTTACTTCTGAAAAGCGGGGCAGTGACGAAAATGGCAATGGCACGGAAGAAAACCCTTACAAAACAATTTTGCAAGCTATGCGTCATGCAAAGGCTGAGCCCTTTCCCGCAATATATGTAGATAGTAAGGACCCGAAAGCTGAAATCCAGTATGAGGTTGCTGCAAAATCGCAACTGAAGAAAGTACTCAAAATTTTTACACGCGAGAGCTATAAAAGTGCAGAAAAGCAGCAACGGGAGGCTGACGATGCCGGAAAGCGGGAGCAAAACATAGAGGAGGCTCGTAAGATTCGAATTGTTGAGGATGAAAACTTACCTAAAGCGCGTAAAATTAAAATTTGTCACGGCGGGGAATATCGCGGTGAACGCATTAAGGTTTACGGTTGGGTTCATCGCTTACGTCGTCAAGGCAAAGGCTTAATTTTTATAACATTACGAGATGGTACGGGATTTCTGCAGTGCGTACTTACTGATCGTTTATGCCAAACGTATGAAGCGCTTGTTTTAACTACAGAGAGTTCTGTTCTTTTATTTGGAGTACTGAAACCAGTGCCCGCTGGCAAATCTGTAAGCAATGAGATATTTTGTTATTAAATTACTAATGTTTTAAAAGTTTAGGCTCCAGGTGGTCATGAGTTACATGTAGATTATTGGGAATTAATTGGCTTGGCACCAGCTGGTGGCGCTGAAAGTATTCTCAATGAGGAGGCTCATCCAGATGTGCAACTCGACAATCGCCACATCATGATTCGTGGCGAAAACACATCAAAAGTTTTGAAAATGAGATCAGTAGTAATGCAAGCTTTCCGTGGGCACTTCTTTGATCAAGGCTACAATGAAGTGACCCCGCCAACTTTAGTACAGACACAAGTTGAGGGAGGGTCAACGCTTTTTAAGTTACAATATTTCAGGTGGGATTTACCCAAGTCAATTAATATTAATAGTAAATAATAAAAAAATCAATGCATGACACATTTTCAGTGTCGTGGCATATATGTACATACATATGCGCACGGTTTAGTGGAGATTTAGAAATTAGATTTGAATAAACACTACATACCTACATACAGTTCAGTTTTGAAGTTAATCTACGCTCCCTAAAAATATCCGCCCAACCCGTGTGCATGTGCATATGTACCATGATTGAATATCTGATAATATCAAAAGACTATGCGTCATCGCAAACTAGAAATTTCCGTTTTATACGATACATAAGAGACTTTAAAATTTGTCTCTCTTTTATACAAAAATTTATATTGTAATTTACCTTGACTTAAGACTTTTTATAATAGCAAAAGACTTTATGCGTCATCGCACACTAGAAATTTCCGTTTTATATGATACAAAAGTCGCTTTATAATGTTTCTCTCTTTTTTTACATTTACTTAAGACTTATTTGTTCCAAATCTTCTTTTCATGAATGCAGCGAGGAGGCGTATCTAACTCAAAGTTCCCAGCTATATTTAGAGACTTGTATTCCAGCTCTTGGAGATGTATTCTGCGTTGCACAAAGTTATCGTGCAGAGCAAAGCCGAACAAGACGCCATTTAGCCGAGTACACGCACATTGAAGCCGAATGTCCTTTCATTACATTTGATGACTTATTGAATCGCTTGGAGGATTTAGTATGCGATGTTGTGGATCGTGTTTTAAAGTCCCCATGGGCACACATCGTCCATGAGCTCAACCCTGATTTTAAGCCACCAAAAAAACCTTTCCGGCGAATGAATTATGGTGATGCTATTAAATGGTTAAAGGAAAACAACGTTACTAAAGACGATGGTACATTCTATGAGTTTGGCGAGGTATTTAAAATTGGTAGCTTTATTATTGTCAATAAATATAAACAAAATTGTGCTTTTATTTAAACAGGACATACCGGAAGCTCCAGAGCGAAAAATGACCGATACAATCAATGAACCAATAATGCTATGCCGTTTTCCAGTTGATATTAAATCATTCTATATGTCAAAATGTGAGGAAGACGCTTCCTTAACGGAGAGTGTCGATGTACTGCTACCCAATGTTGGTGAAATTGTAGGTGGCTCTATGAGGATTCATGACATTGACGAATTGCTTAAAGGGTATGAGCGTGAAGGCATTGACCCTACCCCTTATTATTGGTACACTGATCAAAGAGTTTATGGCACCCAACCACACGGCGGCTATGGCTTAGGACTAGAACGTTTCCTTTGCTGGTTACTCAACCGCTATCACATTCGAGAAGTTTGCTTGTATCCTCGTTTCCTTGACCGGTGCAAACCATAAATCAAATAATGGAATTTCATTCAACAAAGTTTTACACAACTGTGCTTGCATTTAAAAATTGAAATGTCTATAAAATATCACTGCATTTTAAACGACTTATTTATTCGCATTTTAAACAAATTTATTCGTCAAAAATTTCTTGACTTAGATCGCTATTATCTAAATTATCTTCAAATGTAACCTCGCCCTCAGCATCTTCCTGAAAAATAACAAATTTTTTTCAATACATTACAAAAAATACAATCATGATACAAGTAAATTTGTGTATCATGGATACAATAAAATATACCAAATTCTCTACGGAGTCTAATTCTGCGTGGATTTGTCCTTTACGATAATGATTTCGCAATAATTCCTTAATACAATTACTCATTATGTGTCGCACTTGCATGTCGAACCCTGCTGGTAACCATCCAGTCTTCTCATTGCATATTGCTCCCGTCCGCGGTGAGGGTATTTTTTCAATCATCTCTTGAATTTTTGGCATATGAATATCGCAATACTAAATATGTAGTTAAGACAATATATACAATTTTGAATATAAAATATGTTAAATAAATATTCCACCAACTTACTCGCAGTATACATTGACGCGAACGTGGTAGTTTGTTTTCCTCAAAATAAGGATAATTTATATCTTGAACCAATTCGTTCATTTCGTAGGCGCTCTCATTTTGCTTCTTGAGTTGATCTCTTCTGTTCGCCACCTTTGTTATGCTAAAAATTAACAATAAATACTTCACATTTTGTTGAAGATTCTTACAAATTCAGACATTCCTGAACGGAAGCGTAATCGGTAGTCGAATGTTTGGTAATAACGACTTTTGAAGTCTTTGCGCGGGTCATAGCCGTAACGTATGTACAGCGTACGCCAGGGTCCCGTTGAGAAGTAGTATGACAACGATGGTATTATACATTTCAACTTTTCATGGGATACACCAGATTCATAAAGCAACGCTATACGCGTCCAGATGGGACATTCCTCGAACAGCTTTGAATTTAAAATATTGTACTTTAATAGATTATGAGCCGCCGGGTAAGACATTACTTACGGATTTGACTTTCTGTAGTTGCTCATCAGACACATATTTGATTTTCATTCGCTTGACAATTTGCAAATCTGGGCGTTCCGGAAAAACATCGGTCATACTGAAGGGTACTATGTCGCGGCTGTCGTATGACGATTTCTGTATTACACCCAGCACATCGTGCTGGCCGTCATCTTGTTGGTCAGCCCGAAATATAGTCGAATTAACTGTGTCGACCCGAGCAAATGTGTGAGGTAAACTAAGTAATGGTAAACTTGTTCGCCTACAAAAAAAGAAATTTACTCTTCCAGACCGATATTTAGGTAAGAATATTTAGCTTACGAAAAATAATTTGTGTCTGTTACAGACTGAGGAAATAAACTTAATAAGTTAAACGTTAAAGTTTCCGTTTGGGGCTCTTTGCACAAAGGCAGATATTGGAAGTCACATAAAGCTTTTTAAAATACATTAAAGAATATCATATATATCACGATTTTATTATACACTATTTACTGTTAAATGTAAAACTTCTTTTGCAATGTCCAAGGATGCATAGTCGATATTCAGAAGGCTGATTTCGGTGTTTTTTGGAACGCCGCACCTTAACAGATAGTAACAACCCGGCACCTTGCACAACATCGCCGCCAGCTACTTTATTAAAGGGATTTTTTGGATGAAACCGAAGTTCTAGTCGTTTTTGTTCGCTTCCCAAAGCCTGAAAATGGATGCATGTATGTTCTTTTGCTTTTATTTTGAAATCAGTTTATATCCTGCTTTATCAAACTTAATAGTTTCCGACAGGCTGGCGGTCAATAATTTATTCCTTCTACCGTATTTCACATTTTTTACCAACCTGCGATATATTGGTGATACCACCTAGTGTTCCTAACATTTTTTCTGCATTAACAACCTTAGCTGGATATTCTATCACCTCTAGCTCCTTGCTCGAAGAAAAATTTACTTGCGTTGTCGACATGTTGATAAAATCAGAATTTGTCTACATGTTAGAGTTGTTAATATAATTTAGTTTAATTTTTTCCCCTATAGATGAGTAGAGATAGCTCATACAGCTGCCAAACTATCGGCGACACTATCGATAGACTGTGTTAAGGCAGCACTGCGATGTGCCACCCTGTGACGGCAAAAGATAACTGCCGTCCCTAAATTGGAGCGCTAAGCGTTGCGTTATCCATTGTCGACGAGTGTCAGCGCGCGCTATCCCCAAATCAACGCGTCGTAATTTTTGACGTTTTCTCAGATCCTCTCGTTTTTATTCTCGTTTCCTCTTTCACTTTTTTGTCCTTTCTCTTTCTTTCCGTCTTCCGCATCCAACTTCAACACGTAACGCCCTGTCAAAAATGAAAATTCCATTTGCTCGGCGTTAGCGCCGCGTTATTGTGGGATGCTTCATACAAATTGTATGGGCATGAGGATTTTTGACAGTTGTTTGGCGCTTGACGCGCCAATTTAGGGATGGCAGTTAGTTTTCTTAAGGATGTTTTTTGACATTACGTTTTCTCTCCTTTCTGCCTTTACTTCTTACAAGGAGCGTGAGAAATTCTACATTATTAAATAAAATCCAGATAGATCCCTGAAAATACTAAATTATTTCAAACATCTCACTACATAAACGAGTGTTTTGGAAATTTGGGCGTGGGATCGCTGGCTTCAGCAACAGTCTGGTCACTTGAAATAGAAGAATAAGCTTTTGTGCAATATGTTTATTTTTATATGAATATGAAGCACATTTAACTGATGAAAAAATAAATTGTTTTTAAATTGGATGTTTACATAAATCTTATAGTTGTTTTATTTTAATTTTGAATCCTTTTGCAGTTTTTATACAGCTAAATGGCACAATAATTACGTAATTCACGTAGATGTATATTTCGTTCAATATTTCGTTTAAAATGCTCGAGTTTCTGCAAATACATGACAATTTACAAAAGGAATTTCACTACTAATTGCCTACTTTGCGTACTTTTCTACTACCATTTTCGCAACAAGGGATTGCATTCTTCCCCTTTCTTTCTGTGGGAAGAATGCAATCCCTTGTTGCGAAAATGGTAGTAAAAAAGTACACGAAGTAGGAAATTAGTAGTGAAATTCCTTTTGGCAGCATTTCTTTATTCATTTGAACGTTTGGAATAAACTTTTTTGTTTACTTATTCTTTAAAAGGTTCCTGATGATATGTTAACGTATATTTCAAACGCATTCTGTTTATTCCGTCTGTGAAATGAGATTATCCAGAATGTATAAAGAAACGCAGCCTTTGTAAATTGTAATGTATTTGCAGAAAATCTGGCATTTTAAACGAAATATTGAACGAAATATTAATATATCTACGTGAATTACGCAATTCTTGTGCTATTTAGCTGTAAAAAAAACTGCAAAAGAGCTCAAAATTATGAGATTTATGTAAACATCCAATTTAAAAACAATTTATGTTTTCATCAGTTAAATGTGCTTCATATTCATATAAAAATAAACATATTGCACAAAAGCTTATTCTTCTATTTCACAGCAAAGCTACACTTTTTCCAAGTAAATTTGCAAAGAAGCAACACAGTGACACTGCTAAGGGACCGGTGCGAGAGAGACAACTGTTAGTTTATCGAACCTTGTATTATTGAATCATGGTGATAGCTTTTCTCATGCATAACGGCGCGTTTACATTGGGCAATGCTGTCAACACATTAAAGATATATAGTTGCAAAAAACGCGGATAATTTTGTCCGTGGAGTAGGCGTCCTGACAATAGTTATGACAATTCATTTTGAGCAAAATTTCGGACGTGAACGTTGTATTTAATTTGTTCCAGTACTCTTCAGACTAAAACCTGTGGAAATGTCAAAGTACAATTTTACTCTCTCAAGTGAGAGTAACAGGAGAACAGATGCAGAAGTGTACGGGAACGCAAAAAGCACTTTTTCCAGCAAAAACGTCATTTGGTTTGTTTACTCGTCATTAGTACAAGACTGATTTGGCTGAAATATCGCTAAATAATGATTAAAATCTATGCAGTTAATAATAATTGCATATATATTCGAATATTTCATTATTTACTTCCATTTTTTAACAAATGTAAGGTTATTTGCTTTCACCGCGTTCTGTTTTTGTACACAAATGTAACTCTACCTATCGTTTGACACTTTTCATGAATTTGCCAGAAGGAAAACTCCGGACTAAATCTTGAAACTTCATTCTGGGAACAGTTGCTCAGTTACTCTCACGAGAGTGTTCCCAGACACAGAATTTTTTGCGTACGGGAACGACTTTGGACTAAATCCTGCAAAACCTGCAAATCGTAGACGTGCTGGAACGCACTAATTATAATGCGCATTTCGCGCGAGCTATTTAAGCTAAAACTAAAAAATAATAAGGAATAGACGAAGTTATATACACACAAGCGTCTCTGGTGTTATTTGAGTTCTTTTGTTATGAATTTCTTTTCTTTCTTGCACAAGACGTCAAAATTATTGTCTGCATACGTCAAATCATTGTCCGATTTACTGTCTTGAAAACAATTAATTGACAATAGCAATACATGCACACTTTTTCACTAAGCCATGCATACTTTTCCAATTTGCGATTTTGTCATGCCTCTTTTTCTCAAAGTAACTAATATGTGACCGAATTGTCCAATTTACTCTCTAAGAGCCTGTGCCAATTGATAGAAAACAGGAAATTTTGACAGAAGAGACTAAAAATTTGACATTTCTCGGGGTGAATACGAACGTCAGAATTTTACCTAGCTCATGGGGCTAGGTCAAATTTTGAAAGCATATNGTGGATAGTTCCATGTCTAACCTACTGCCTGTAACCAAAGGTGTTCCGCAAGGATCTATACTTGGCCCTTTATTGTTCGTGTTATATATCAACGACCTACCCAATGTTCTTAAACACAGCAACGTACATATATATGCAGATGACGTTCAAATCTATCTCAGTAGTCCATTCGCCGCCACTGAAAACTGCATATGTATTCTGAACGCTGATTTGTGTCTCGTAAATGAATGGGCTAATGATAATGGATTAGTCTTGAACCCCTGAAAATCGCAGTGCATTGCTATATACAAGAAAACTTTTGACCTTGACAACTACCCTAAAGTAACTCTAAACAACTCTGTGATTACATTTGTTGACACCGTCAAAAACCTTAGTGTTATATGCAATAGAATACTGACGTGGAACAATCATATTTTTACAACAATAGGCAAAGTATATGGAATGTTAAGAGTACTACGGACAACTCAACACTTCACACCTGTTAAGATAAGATTGTTATTAGCAAAGTCTTATTTGATTCCAACTTTGCTCTATGGTTGCGAACTCTATGCAAATTGTGACAGTGTTTGTAAAAAAAAAACTTAATAGTGGTATTCATCTAAACCGATAACTTTATCAAGCAGATAATCTTATAAGTTTATGCACTCTGTTACATGAACGACCCACACTCTCTTTTCGTTTACACATGCGACAATAGTCGTGTTTTCTTTGGTTATAAAGCGCAGTGTCACTAACTTTATACTACTAGCACGGGGATAAAGAAATTATCGAAACTACCTCACTAAATTGGAAAAAATTATATTTACGAGATATCTATTTAAATAAATATACATATAACATAAAGGCTATTTATTTGAAGCAAGTTATAAGAAACAATGGCAGAATGTCTGNGATTAAAACTTACACGATCAGTGCGCTCCACACAAATACTGCACATGAAATTCAGCTCACGCATATCTGAGCGTCAATTTTTTGTTTCCACAGTCCGTCTTTGGAACATCTTACCTGTGGTGATCAGAAGTATCAAGGGCATATTGCATTTCAAAAGAGAACTATTGCGTTACTTTGCTCAATAAATTTCAAAATCTGTCATATTTCTATATCTTATTTCATAAAGTTATCCCCCTTGCGATCTCATCATCCCTTCCTAACTATCTTCATAATATTATCTGTATTTATATTTACTATGCTAATATTTCTTATTCTCCAACACTGTAAATAAAACTAATGGTTGTTGTGTTTGAAATCTTGAATAAATAAATAAATAAAATAATAAATATATAAGCACAGTAATGTTTGGCGGTAATAGAGTGAAAATCAAAATTTAAGCTGAAAAAAGCATAAAAAGCGTACGCTACTTGCAAGTTGCAATATATATATATATATATATATATATATATATATATATATATATATAAATTTGAACAATTTCAGCAATACACAAAAATAGAGCTTTCGCATGAGTGTTCGTTTAGTTTTTTTGGACTGTCAAAATTTTACTTTGCATTTGGCACACAAAATTCAATTTACGGAAGTGGCCTATTTAAGTAGAGATTGTTGATTAACTTCCACTATTCACTTTCAGATCATACATTTAATCTGCAAAATGGCCAATATTGGCTACTTAAATATAAGATATGCAACCTTGTGTTTGTACCAAACAACCAAGATTGATTGGTAGGTTGTTTAATCAATCCCACCAAAAAACAATCAGCTGTTCAGCACAAAATAGGTTCATTCCTTATCTTTTCGGACTAAAATCTGAAAATGTCAAAATGCAAGAGCGTAAGCAAAACGCGCTCAATAAAAGAGAATAACAGGAAAAAGTAAAGAAACGCAAACAACACAATTTTTAATCCAAAGAATGGCAACAACAAAACTTTTTTTACTTTTTAGATTATTCTCACTTTTTGTTTATTCTTTAATTTCCGTTAATTTAAATTCAGTTGAGTTTGACACTTTTCAAAATTTTGCCAGCAAAAATTCTTCTGACTAAATCCAAGGCATAACAAGGTAGAAGTGATTTCGAAATTTCTCTCTTTTGAACTGCGACTGAAATGTCAACTCTTAACCCTATACAATTAAAAATTCTAATTTTTTAGTTTAAATTTTCAATAGTGAGCTGCGCTATTGATTTTAAATACACAATAAAATGAATAGGATTTACGAGCGGTGTGCTGTGTGTGGCAAGAGCCAGGACAACAAACTTTATTGTCAAGTGAAGCGAAAAAGGTGGGCGAATAGCTGCGGTGTTTCATTGGAATACTCTTCGTGTGTGTGCGAGAACCATTTTAGGGCCGGTGACTTTATATTTGTTGCCCATTGCAACTGAGTATTTCTA